GAGCCGGAGGGTCCATCAATCTTCCATGACCAAGTGCCTATGAATGACATTGACATGATGAAATAAGGAATTTAAATCCCAATTTCCTTCCACCTTTAGGATGGTAATCTAAACTAAATGAAACTAAGCTTACTCAACATTCCCAAACCCAATGAAGAATTTAAAATCTTAGAGATTCGTGCGTCATCTATATGATGAGAAAACAAATCAGAGAGCAAGAGACATTCAAGTTAAAATAGCTCAAGTTTCGTAATTATGGTACCTGAAAAAAGAAACTGGTGGAAAAACAGTGCTGATGAAATTCAACATGCCCAAAATGAAGCACATGCCACATTTTGGACATGTTGAACAAAACCAGAAATAATTTTATGCATTTACTCTTCCATGACAATCAACTAATACAGTTGGACCATGATAACTTTGGCCTCCTCAAGTCAAAAATATATTTATACTGAATTTTCGATCAGTCTCTGTCTGAATTTCCTCACAGACCTCTTTCACTCAAAGACATTCCATCTCTAACATTTACAAATGAAACTTCAGGAGGCTTCTGTACTATTCTTCTGGGAACACAGGCAAAAGAAGAGCAATAAAAACATAACTTAATGCTCCTCAAAATAAAATGAGTGATTAGTTGGGCAAATTGACCCTTGCATCCAAACTGATTAAACTGATTTACCAAGCAATTTAGGTCCCAGAACATCACCAATTTCATCATCCCATTCCCCCCTGCAAAAATGGTATTTTCCCAAAAATTTGCACTTTCAGAGTCCCCCAGACTCAAAGACTGTAGCCTATGTATTTCAGCCTTCATTGAAAATACTACCATCACTTATCTAAGAGATATTTGGTAACCTCACATCAGAGCAAACCTCATTCTTAAAAAAAAAATTTTTGAAAACTGAAGCTCTCACAAACCTTTCCCAACAACGTGCAGAATAACAGCAACAAGAACTGGCCTGGGAGCCGCATAACAAAAACTTTTCAGAAACTCGCACTAAAATAAAAAAACACTCACTCAAACAAAACCTGGCAGTCAGAAGGAGAAAAAAGATAAAACAGATAATCAGTAATGGACACATCAATTCAACTCTTGACAATAAACCAAAACAACGACCTTACAAATAAAAAACCATTCGCACAAGAGACTGTTGCTTTCATTCGGTCGTCAGTCATCACCCGAAAAACAACTACAGACGCAATGGTTTTCATCAATATGTCTTCAACAACGAGATAATTCAACAAAATGCTGCAAAAACGTAATAGGCAAGAACTGATAAATAAAAGGGGGCTTGAGACCGTTTTCCTCGTGACAAACTTGCAATCGATGAAAGGCTTCACGACTTATTCTTTTTCGCAGCGAGGATCTCCACCACACGAGGCACATCTTCCCCTGAGGCAAGGATCACGTTGCAGCTGTCGCATTCCGCTTGGAAAGCCAATCTGTCCCTCGTTGTCCTCACTCGATTCACCTTCAAATAGAGACACAAAATTTGAGTTAAGACGCCAATATTTAGCGCTTCACTTCTCGCTTGAACGCTCATGTCCCCGATTTCGTCATTTTATTCATTCTAACCCAGGTGTCGCCTCAACTTCGTTCGTTTCAAGATATTCTACCCAGATTGAGCTACTGCGTACATTCAATAAAATATTTTCAACATTACACTGCACTTCACTACCAGAAAAAAGCTTTATAATTTGAGTTTTGAGTACATTTCATGATTGTTCGTTTCAAGATATTCTACCCAGATTGAGCTACTGCGTACATTCAATAAAATATTTTCAACATTACACTGCACTTCACTACCAGAAAAAAGCTTTACAATTTGAGTTTTGAGTACATTTCATGATAAATTACGCAATGAACAGTAAACAAATTTAAAATCCTGCAATGTCAGAAATGTGCTAGGAAATTGAATACTGTATATGCTAAAACTGCGAAAAACAATTGCTGGATTCGACTATTTTCAATTTTATTGTTTACTCAAGCGACACCTGCCGGGAATTCCAAAAATGAAGGTTTAAAAAGAAGATCATACAAAAATGAAAACACTTCCGGAAGTGTTTATACAAGTTTCATCCAGTCTTGAAGAGCTTTTTTCAGGGCAACAGTCCAGCAACTTATTTCTGTGCTACAAAATACAGGTGAAACTCTCTCTCTCTACTTCTCCACAACGAAATTCAAGGGACCAGAAAAAATTCGCTGTACGAGAATTTCGTTGTAGAAAACCCAACAACGAAAACACGTTAAGAGGACCCTACGGATTAAACAAAAAAATTCGTTATTCAGAAAAATATCATTTTAGATAAAATCTTTGCGAAGAGAGCCCACCTGTATTCACTTCATCTCAATTCCAGCTTCACTACGGTACAGTACAGTATTTGAAACAAAAGAATTACGCCATCAATTCCCTTTTTACAGTACTTCCGAAAAATGGTGAGGACAATTACGATGAATTTCTGGAAAAACACACACCGAGTTATAGAAATTTTCGACAAACAGCATCAACTCCGGCTCACTGAGAACCAAGTTGCAATTCTTGCAGAAAGATCTGATCACTGGGTCCAAAACAGGCAAGTTCTCGTCCTCGTAATTCTGATTGCTCTGGTAGGACACCTTGATTCTCTCTTCCACAGCGTCAACTACGCAATTTTTGCATAAATAAATTCAAAAATTAATCACTGAATTTAATCTCACTCGATTATTCATTACCATGCATCGCAAACCACCAGCTCCAGACACAAAACGCAACGCACACGCGTTTATTAATCACGAACGCCATTTAATTCAAGAACACTCAACAAGGTCCGTTGATCTCCAAATAAGCAGGACAACTGCGAGAAAGAAAGAAAAAAAACTGAGAATGCCCGAGTTGTTCAACTTTCCCTCTTACGGTCGCTGTAAATTACTCGAGAATCATTCCTGGCTTCTACTGACGAAGAATTATCGAGAGCACTTATCGAAAGTTGACCCATTGGCCTTTCTCCAGTAAAATTCCTAGGAGCAAGTTTATCCCACGATACGTTCTCGTAGACTTTTGAGTGGTCTCGGCGAAATGACCTACAAGAAGCACTAGTTAGCCTCTGTTCTTTTCTTTTTTTTTCTCGGGTGAAGAACGCGTTATACGAGGAACATTTTCTTTTTTTTCGTCTATAGCCCGACATTGCTTTCCAATGAGTCAAATAGGTGTCGCATGAATGACTAGCACGAGTCTGAACTGAATGCGGGATATTTTATTTAGTCATCCTAATCGTTCAGGAAATCAGCATAAAAATTAGAGAGCATTTTAAACTCTTTCCACATATCAGTCAAGACTTTAAAATGCTGTTTGGCACATGAAAATAATATTGGGCACCCGCACAAGAACTAAAGGAATCGAAAAGAGTTCAGGTGACATCTATCCAATGGCAAAGAGATGACGGAATCCCATTTAAACCTGGTCTGTTCTCGTTAGCGTTTTTTCATACGGATTTTCAGTAGTTGGAGATGTGATTTCCCGTAAGCTTACATTATCGATTGATTAATTCGTTCCAGACTTTCAGCAAAAGATCATAACCATTAATAACCCATATTATTTTACTTACAATTTTAAATTGATTTGTCACATTCAAGTAAGCCTGACAAATTGGTTATTTTATCTTTTTGAATTTCGAATTATTTTTCAAGAATAATATGTTTCGAGATTTTTCTTCAACACATGCCAAAATTCGAATATTTCTCCGTCACAAGAATTCGTTAAGTCACATTTTCCCCCTGAGAATTTTCATGTTGCAGATTTTTGTTAATTAATCTTTTGTTCTTCAGGGACTTACTGTACAGGGAGTCCCCGCATTAGGAAATTAATTGATCTTTTTTCTACATGGACAATTTTTTGTAACGCAAGCAATTTCCCTCAAGAATACATCTTGAAATTTTGCATCATTACCAAGATTTTGAATTCCATGGTAAAAGAGACAAACTCTTAAAAATCAAAAAGCAAACCAAGATGCATCTACTCTTCTACACACATTCTTCTCCACTTCTCAGGCACAAGCCAGGAGATTCACAGTGTTTCTTCTTTATTCTTCATGATATCCCTATGGGAATGAGCTTCACCTAATCAGAAAACAGATGTCACTACTAGAAAACACTTTCTATTCTTTCATTTTGTTCGTGACTTCATTCAAGAGGTTTGAAACCTGAGAACCATTAAGGAAAACAAAAATGAAAAGAGCAGCTGTGGCTCAACGGTCAGGGGAAGCATGAAATTATAATTCCAAGTGACCCGCATCAGCTCGAAAAATGTCAGGACATATGTCATATGTTAGACATTTATGCAGGACATTTTTGTTAGGAGAGTTATTTTATTAATTTTTCGTGTCAGGCAAATTCCCTTTAGGCGAAATTGTCGTTTTCGTCATGCGGGGAATATTTATTCGCAACAACAACAACAAAAAATACACTCACCTAAAAACGAATCTTCAACGCATCTCCACAGCCTCTTCCTTCTCCTCAAGCTGCTTGACATCCAGACAGAATTTCCCGAACTTGGCAGACCGAAACCCAGAAATAATTTCGGCGGCAGCTCGGGTCAAGTCGGGGATAACGACCATTTCCCCGGTCGCCGGTGACCTGAATTTGCGGGTCCAATCTCGAGACACAGCGTGGTCACAGCAGAGACGCTCAGCGGAAGTCCCCAGGTGGCCCTTGTAAGACTCGAATTCACTTGGACAGGGTTGCTCGTGTCCCAGGTATTCGGGTAGCTTGTCAACATCGAATTCCCCCGAGGCTTTCATCCACGAGACCATGTAAGACAAGATTTCCAACGGACCGATCCTGTCATCTAAAACGACATAGAAATTCAATGAACAAACTTTTCTTTTTCAAACTCTACTTCCATAAATTTGGAGACCACTGGACCTGAGAAATCAAACGTCCTCATGTCAAATTATTCTTCATTCCCTTTCTGAATTCCGTAAAATACACTGTCCTGCACGATGGGTGTCCACATTACGGAACTGATGTGTTCTGGAATCAGGGAATGCGTTGGAATTTTCGTAATGCATGATTTCCCTCAAGGTTACATTGTAAATAGAGTGCAGTCATTTAATTTGCTCCAGACCTCATCACTGTGCATTTTCCCAGTTTTCTGCGTAAAATCAAGGGATTTGTAACTTATTTGAATGAAGTTGAAGTAATCCCAATGATTTTGAGCTCAAAACTCTCGACTTCCACAAATTGTAACACGAAGGTTCAATAGGATGCAAAACAACGCCTTATTTTATGAAAATATTCGAAGATTTAATTTCGAAGTTTACTGAAATTTGAACCTTTTTCAGCCAGAAGTTAGTGATGTGAAACATTTTCGTTATGCGAGTCAGCATTTTTCCCATAAAAATTTATGCAATGCGAAATTTTCGCCCTAACTAACTTGGAGGCTTTCACACTTCAAACATTTATAGCTCCGATTTTCAGCAAGTCTGAGTTTTATTATTTTGGTGGCACAGGAAAGATAAAATCAATAAAAATGAACCGTAACTTCCTGCTTTTTCATTAGGAAATGATCGACTAATTGAAAAAATCAACCCTTGCCTCCAATTTCCGCATCCTGTGGAAAATGATGAAAATATTTTTCCAAGGAGCAGTTTGAACCTCAGAGAATCAAATTTTAACTTCCTGTGCTTCGTTATTTTCAGATATGCTAGCTTCTCTGAAAAAAAACTGAAAAAATCCCTGATTCGAATTGAGTTCTCAATAATGATAGCAGATGACGTTTTAAAAGGGTTTCCAATGCTTTTATCATTTTTAGAGAGTTTTTTTTATCGGGGGTTGCCGAGGGTAGCGGCTTCATCAAGGGGGAATATTAAGGGAATTTGACTGTACAGTACAGTATATTTTTCACTAGAATGGTACTCACCTGGCAAAGCAGCAACCAAAGCCAGCTTCATGGCGGATTCCTGATCCCTGACTCTCGGTTCCAGGATCCCCGGAGTATCAAACACGTAAATCAGAGGATCAAGAGACACCTTGATCTTCGACAAAGATCTCGTCATCCCAGCAATGGCACCCACAGGCGCCCCCTTGGACACTCCACCGACACCCAACCGCCGCAAACGGTTAATCACAGTCGACTTGCCGACATTCGGCACACCAACGATCATCACATTACTTTCCACTGATTCACTGCGATGATACCGAGGCACTTCCCGCAAAATCCGCTTCACATTCCGCACCAACATCCGCGTGTCGTGATGAGAAGATTCTTGTCCGGCCCAAAACACATCCGTTGCTCCGTCGGCGATCAACTTCCGACGCATCTTGGGCAACAGTTCAGGAGGAACCAGGTCGCATTTGTTCAACAACAAAATCAGGGGTTTGATGGCAGTCAGACGATCGCGAAGCAGAGAACATCGTCCAGTGAAGGGAATCCGAGCGTCGTGAACCTCGATGAAGCAGTCGACGTTTTTCAACACTTTCTGCATCTGTTGCAGGCCCTTGTTCATGTGGCCGGGGAACCACCAAGGGATTTCCTTCGTGCCCTCATGGTTTAAAGATGGCGATATCCCGGAAACGTGGAACTTCGCGACACTCGTCTTATTGAGAAGCGAGACTCGCGATAGAAGATTTTGCACCATGATCACAAAAATCTAGGGGAACACGAAAGGGGAACCGGTTTGTTTTAAGCGTGATGGAAGAGATAATCGGCATTGCGGAAACGAGTTTGCGATTTTTTTTCAATCGTCGTCTTCGATCCCGGATAAAACCTGAAACAGAAGAAGAAAAAAACATTCATGAGCTTCGCGTCTCAAAAACATATGCGTCTTCTCGACGATGAGTGAACGAGTATTTTTAAAGTTATTTGTGCCACTGTTCAAACCATGCAATCGAAAAATCAGTTTATCTAAAATCAAACTCCGTTAAGATGCCACCCTCGACAACCGCCAGTTTAATTCGAAAAACGATTTCTTCCCTAACGATAATAACAATGGAACAAGAAACGCCATCTGCAAAATTATTGACAACTCAAACATGCTCCTACTAATTAATTTTTCTTCGGTACTCCACAAGAATAATAAGCAGTTAATTTCATGTTATACTGTACTTGATTCTCACTTTATTTTGATTTTTATATGAATCCACAACCTTACGAATAGTGGTATCTTCAGAATGGGGAAAGTAGGAGCATGTGAAGACACAAACGGAAAATTTTCGTACAATCGCCAAGAAAAGAAATTTTTCGAGAAATGCAAGACTCACCTTCAAGGTTTTCTCTTCTTTGGCATAGATTTGTAATTGTCTTTCCACAAGATTCGAAACTTGCGAGTGCATGGCAAGAAACCGATCTTTATCGAGTGGATTGTCTCTGAGGGTTGAGCTTTCTTTGCGGGCCTCCTCTCGAATGCTTCTCAAAACGCGTAGTTTGTCAATGACAGACTGAACGGATCGCATTTCCTTGGATTTCCGACGGGTTTCGCAAAGAACACCGTCTGCAAGCTTCAGGCGAGATTTCAATTCCCGATCCGGGGGATTCAAAGCAGAGATCTCCTTCCGCCATTTTTCGTGCGATGATTCTGGACTGACTTCTTCGTCAGTGCAGGAAGAATGCGGTACTGCTTTGCTACTTGATCTCCGACGGATTCTGAAAAATTTTCATAATTTAAATCGGTTACCGCCTTACTAGAATAAATCGACGATACACGCTGGTACAGAGAAAAACGCGTAGAAAAAATGAAAAATACCTACTTTCTGTCTTGAGAATCTAATTAGATGCACTGACACGGATATTCCTTCAAAATGACCGTTTCTTATACAATTTCACAAATTTTGGATCTGAGTATGATGCACCTGAGAAAACTTGAAACCCAAGCAAATACTAATTTTAAAACGTTCGATCGCAAGCAAGATTCAGTGCTTCCTCTTGAATTGGCAAAAAAATTCAGTGGAAGAAATATCTTCTCAAAAAGTACCGGAAACGAATTCTGGTTAAACCTCGTGAATTTAAATTACGAAATTATTTGGACTATCATTATTTATTTGTTACTCACCCGCGCTTTCTTCCTTTGAATTTCGGAATCAATTCTTTTTGTAAGTACTGAATTATTTTCCCTGGTGGTTCCTCCTCGCTGGGGCTTTCGTTTGACGTCGTCGCCAACGTCTCTCGCAATTCAGGAAGTGATTTTTTCTCGAAGCTACCACGAGGCCTGAATTCACTCAGAAACTTCGCATCCAACTTCCGTGCGCGCAAAATCTGAGATAGGAAATTAGCATCATCGGACACGCCTTCTCGAAAAAACGGAAGTGCTTCATGCCAAGGAAATCTCGACCAATCCATTGAAAAACGTACGACACAGTTCTGGGGAAAAACGGTTCAATTGTTAGTAATTCATGCAAAGAGGGTCACACAAAGAGTAGCAACCATATGAATATTTGACGAGGAGATGAACAAGAAAGTAGATCGTTTTCACTCATTCATCAACATGTAGAAGATGCTTAACGTGGTGCGCATTCACTCATTCTTACTTCTTTCAAAAGGTTCGAAATTGAGAAAAGTTTGAAAAATACAATCCACTTTCTTATTCATCACATCACTCTCAACTGTGTAGACTCCTCTTCGTGGACCTTCCTGCATAATTCCATGCTCAGGCAAGAACATGACTAAAAAAAAGTCCCAAGTTTTTCGAAAAGTTTTATGTTCAAACCGGGTATCACACATGATTCGTAGCGATTTTCCGTTTCTTGTTGGGCTTGGATGGAAGACCTGCCAGAGGCGCCAACTTGAAAACCGAGCTGCAAAAGAAAAGTATTCAACAAATAAATTTCTTATCTTCACCTGCAATGTAAATCTAAACTCACTGGCAAGTCGAACAGATTGGACTGAACTTGCAGAATACTGAAACAAAGGAAATCGATATCGATCACCATTTAAACACGACAGAGGACGACGCAATCATTCTAAACGAATGTATAGCAAACTTTGAATAAGACGCGCAGTTTGTTAGAAGCTTATACGCAGTAAATTCAAATTTCAAAATGTAAAAAAACAGGGAACTTTTTATTGTTGAGAAGAAGTCTTTCACAAGATTTAATTCCAAGAAACTGATGACGTCTGTCGACAAAACATATCGAGTGGAGCACTGATGAACACATACTTCGCGGAGCAAATTTTTCACGCAACAAACTCATTTGGTCAATATAATTTTTCTGAAAACTCACCTGAAAGGCAAACAGAGCAAACGAAGCCGATTTCTACCAATGTTTTGTGACAGATGCAGGATGCTCGGTGGTCAACAGCAGGTTGAACTGGACGATTTAACATCGCCCGGTCCTTCAAAGATGGTAAAAATCGGAACAACAAACTTTGCAGAAGGGCGTGAGGTGACATTTGATTATATATTCCTCCAGTGATATCGCAAGCTTGTCGCAACAGTCCGGAATTTTCGCAGCCAACCAGACAGGCATCTATCACAACAGCTGTAGAAAACAAGACTTTGAAAACAGCTGAAGATTTCCAGAGAGGATAATTGTATGATGCAGCTTTATGCACAAAACCCTGAGGACTGGGACAGGGATCCAAAGCATGAACAGTATTTTATCGAAGGGTTCAGCATATCAACAAAATCTTCATGATCTGAACATAACTCTAAATGTTCCATCTATCCAACACTAGCCTTCGATTACGTAAACCACGCCGAATACGATCATTTAAGAACTATATACAAGAAGATAAGAGATACGTACTGAGCTTCTGGGCGGCGAAAAACGTGTTCATGAGCGTCATATGACCGGAGGAGAAGTTTGCCGTCGGTGTTACAATGAGAATCCTTCCGCTGAATTTCTCCCCATTTTTCAAAGAATTCAGAGTCCGGTTGACGTAACACATAGCTTTGCACAGCGCAGCAGGAATGAGGGGATCATTGAGGACAGCCTCTACGTTATTTGGATCTTGCAAAGCGAGGATGGACTTCATTTCTTGCTTGATGACTGCGTCAAGCTCGGCCAGAAACGGGAACTGGCCATCGGAAAGAACAGTGATTCGTTTCTCAGTGGCGAGGGGATACAAGAACCGGCTAGAAATAAAAGATAACACAAATTTTAAGATGCTTCGCAACGTTTCGGCTTCTTCGAGGTAACAGGATTGAAAGCACAAGTGGACAGGTTCTCGCAGGAAAACTCACCATAGCTGTGGATCACAGCCGAGGAAAGCTATCCGATTGGATGTTTTGATCGCGAGGTAGGCATTCGCAAACGCAAGAACACTGTCGATGCATTGATTGAGGAGATCTACATCGTTATTCACAGCTGCGCGCCAATTTTCCGCACCCAAATCGAGCACGACGCAAAGTAAGTTCACTTCAGTTACATTCGCATTCGCAGATTCTTCGGACATCTACAAGAGAATTAAGCATGTAGTTGAAGAACTATGTTGAAACTGCAAAGTACGGTATCGTCACAGTCACTTCATATCGTGGTCAGAGTCAACATCCGAAAATTTAAAGATTAGCTTCATGAAACAATAAGTAGTTCCGCAAAAAATAATTTCATTTTTTTCGACTCTCCTTCCTAAAAAAAATTTCATGCGGCAAAGTTTCCGACACCGCTGCCATGATACAAAACATATGGTCCGCATCTGTCTCTGTGTATCACAGTAACGGGTCATGGTCATAAGTGGAGAAATTCAATAGACACAACTGAATTTAATATCTCGCAATCTTTCCAAGCATCAATGCATTCCGATTATCAAAACTTCGCCCTTAATCATGCAGAATGCTTGCTCATCATTCTTGCTCAGAATTTCAAAAATAAATCCCTATCAATGGTTCCATTTGCTGATCACACATATTCAGTGGACTGAACCTCATCCCAGGGCTGTACCGTATAATTAATCTTTACAAAATAAAATATGCCTGCAAAGTCTAGTTTGAAGAGTTATGTTTCCCTCGGCTCAAGTGAGCATTGTGACTTGGCGACAAAGCTAGTAAGAATATTTTTTCACGTGCGGTAGGGTATACTGTATATATAACCCTAAAATGTTTCCATCTGGATAAATTACAGTGTTACAAAAAAATGCAGAAATCAGATTATCAATAAACAAATAGCTGTGCCTTACTATTAATACATGTACTGCAGTTTTGGAGGAAAGAAAGCATCAGTACAGTATTTTAAAATTTTTACTGGAGTTGCTTTATTGCCTTCCTGATTTATTATAATTATCCATAGGCCCAGAAGCTAATATAAGAGAATTCCAGCTCTTCTCTCACACCCTACAGCTGTTGTTCACGCTTCACTTACACTCCCAAAGATTACCAATGATAACGTTAGCTTTATTTTCAAAAGTTGAATAAATTCGCAGCAGACGGCTATACTGTACCAAGCTGTCGACAACCCGTGTCAGGGAATGGGTTCAGGTTCAACCCAGTGACCACTGAGTTCCTTGAGGACAAACGAAAGACAATGACCAGACATTTATCATGGGATACCATCACGAACACGTCCGAAAGCTCTCTCGGGAATCCCAACCGGAGTCACAGCGACATGACAGTTTCTATACTTACCGCAACTATACGCGAGAGTAGTGATCGAGAACATTTTTGAAATGACTTCTGCTTTGTGTATTTCCCTATTGGTCATTTTTCAAACGATGTCGGAAGTGCCGGCTCTACCAACAGGTAAGAATACACTCTATCTGGTAAATTTAGAATTATAGATAAGCAAATTCAATCCACAACCCACGCTAGTTGTAATTGAAGTAGAATAGGAAATTTCAACATGACAGCCTTCCCTTTCCGTGAAAATCCGGAAATCTCCCGCAAAGAAATACAATACAGTCCAGATAGAACAGAGAAGGGATTTTCTAAAAATTATCGAACAGATGTAGAGACATACTTAACATCACCAGAGATCCCAATTGAAATTCTTCATATCTCTTCCAAATATTGTCCAATATTTTTGATTCAAGGCAAAGGCTTTCCCCCTAAAACCTCCATCACTCAAAATTTCTGGAGGCATTTTGGCTTTAATGTTTGTGTGAAGGAAACGCAAAAAGAATTCAACTCGATTCTTTTTGAAAGAAAGCTGAAGAATAATCGGGCAAATGCACCCTAGCCTCCAAGTTTCGCATCCTGTCAACTTCTTTGGGCACCTTGAATAACAAAAATTCTATCTTCATTCAATTCTTTCTTCTTTGAGCTGAAATAACAATTTTTCCAAATGGGAAAACTCCCAAGATCACATTTTTTCTGATGGTCCCTCACTGATCGACCAAAAGATGCTCAACTGCACAATTTCCAACAGAACTCTGAAACGGCCTTGAATGGCAACGAAATCTTACCGGCACATCCTGACACTTTTTCGTTTTCAGGACCATCCTGTAACCCGATCTGTTTGGACATCTTCCTTCCTGTATGCGGCTCGGACGGAGTAACTTACCCCAATTCTTGCGAGCTAAGTTACAGTAATTGCGTCACGCAGATGAACGTCCAAGTGTCTTTCGACGGAAAATGCGAAGATCGAACGAGTAGCCAATCGGATCGCATCTGAAATTTAAAAAATACCGACAAATTAGTGGGTTGGGAGGAAACGACAAACGCATCGCTGATCATGAAGATCATTGAATTGAAATCCAATATAATCCATGTTCCGAGTTCGTGAGAAAACGACAGTTTTATTTCCTGAACGCGAAGAACTCACAAAACCTTAAATCCGTTCTAGAACACGACTGACAACTCTCAAGGTACGTGACCAACGAGGAAAATAGTGCTTGTTGGACCGAAATCTTGAAGCTTTGCCTATTAAAGATTGGTAATGCTCAGGTTGTGAGGACAGCTCCATCTACTTATGGGAGTGCCTTTTATTAGACTAGTCACTCAAGTTTTAGACAACTCAGTTTCTTCAACATTCGGAGAACACTATCATTTCACTCGGGGACGTTCTTTCGATCTTCGAGCCCCTCGAAATTCATGAATTCCTGATCGTATACAATTACACGTAGGTATTGAAGTAAGTAGCACGTATCCATTGTACAAATTGAATTGTTTTCTGATTTATTATCAAGGATGGTACGCCTGTTATTCAGAACCTCGCACAATTCCAGTTTGGCCGCATTTCTGAGAGTTAGTCAACGCACTAGAACAGCAAAAAAAAAAATTCATAACGCGCTTTGAAACTGACGTCACAAGAAGCTTTAAATCGCTGATCAGCTTTGGTTTCGGAAGCAACGCAGAAGATCCCGTTTCAATAAAAAATATGCCTCTCGCGCACCTTAAACACAAGGTAACGTCACACTCAGCAACGCAAAATTCACCGTTCCAGTTCAAGTTATCTTCTCACACAGTACGAGAAGAAAAATCAACACAGACACGAATTGGAATCGGATTCATGATCTCGTTACATCAATCAACGACCAGAACTTTCGATGAAGCGCTAAATGAGATGTACAAATGCAACGGAATGAAACCGCACACGGAGCACACCTATATACAGTACAGTCTCTTGAAATAGATCTTGTTTCATCGTGACAGGAATCCTTCATTTCCTGGGCTGGTGAATAGGCTTGTGACCTCCGGAATTGCGACGTTCCACGTGACTTGGTTCTGGTTTTGTATGGAACTTCTGTACAGCTTCTGGTGGAAATTCAGCGTCGCCCTTAACAACGGCTCCCGCGATCACCAATGGAGAACTTTTCGGCGATGTACTAAAAGGGGAATCAAACATCAGTAAGGTACCGGGATAGTTTACCGCATAAACGTGAACTAACCCAGTAGCAACCTCCTCGCCATTAGTTTTAGCTTTGTCTTCTTTCGTGGTCTTGTGTTGTGTAATTCGCATCCCGCCAGCCTTGATGGCCGGAGGATGACCGGCTTTCAGTTCTACTTGAGCACTAGCCATCACTTTCTAATCACTAGTCACCGAAATACTCAAATCTCTGCAGAAAATGCGTCCGAACCGTTTATGAAACTAGATAGTTCTAGACAATCCCGTCACACGCAACAAATCCAACGTTCAATCCGAATTACAAGGAAACACGGCTGATTCCGACTTCCTGATAATGATGGTCTTTGATGGAACAGCTGGGCAATAACACTCCAAGGACATGACGATATCGGACGAACGACGCATCCCCACGTGGAAACACATCGCAGCTTTCGGAACTCACGTACTGTATTCCGGAAATGCAGTTGGGGACACCCTACTAACATCGCGTGGGTGCCTTGCCAAGGGAACTTATAGAAGACAAAGCAAATTGTTGATCTTCCCATCATGACCAGGTTCGCATTCTGAGGAATGACTCATGCAAGAAGCAAAACAGCCTAATACTTCAATTTTTAGATAGTCAGAAATGTTTTGCCAAAATGTCCATCGAATCATTTTGATTGTTACATACAGCGTGAGCAAGCTTCTGAAGTATAACGCAAAGCTTTACTACAGTGAAGTGGGTCCACTTGAACAGGAGACCTGATGCAAAAACAATTTTTCGCAAAATAAATTAATGGTGGCAAAAATTGCCTCATAAAAAACTAATAAAGCTATTTTCAGAAAAAATGAAGAATTTCATCCACATCCAAATGAAGAAATTTCTGAAGTTCAGAGTTCAGCAATATTATAATTTTTTTTAGATAAAATCTAGATGAGACAAACAATGCAGTTTTGTTTCCTCTATTATTGCCAAAATTAAGGGATTTTAAAAATTTGAGAGCAAAAAATTGTTCAGATTACTGTACTTACATTTCACACAAATGAATTTTGAACTGACACTCTAATGCTGCTAAAATATACATGTTTTAAAGGCTTAATATAACAAGCTGAAAGTCCAAGGACATCAAATGATGTTCTTAGACTGTCTGAAGCCAATTAAAAATTTGCCAATTCTAAAAGAAGGGAAATCGTGTTTGATCACACATGCAACAGCATTCCTGCATGACTGCTGCTCCTCTCATCACAATAAATTCCATCTCCATAAAATGATAAGCAGCACTATATAAATAATATCTTTGAAAGTTTTTGGTACAACCAAATGAGAGCTTCAACCTGAAACAAATATTTCACTGTAATTTAAATCTTTCCATTTGATGTTGCCAACACCAAAAAAATATTCTCCATGAAACAACATATGTATGGAACTAAGAAACCTTCAAGAAATAATTTACTCTATCATCAGTAATAGTGATATAGCTTCTTGCCTGAGATTGAAATCCCACATAATGTACACAAATTCATTCCTGGTCCTTCAATAATTATCCACCCTTTTAAATTGAAGCAGACATCGTGAACCACAATTTTAACCAATGCATCACATCCTTCTCACGCATAAAATGAACATAAACCCCATTTTAAAAACTCGCGTCTTTCCAAACATGGCCGAAATTTTTGAAAATAAACCCAGTCTTCCCAACGAGTCACGGGTCATTGATTCCACATGTTGCAACTAAAAAACCTGCATCCTATTACCCGAGTAAATACCCAGCCCCAGGTGAAAAAAAAATGCAACGAGGTAGAAAAAGGTGCTCCTCAATAACTAAGCAGCAGACAAAAGAAACGCTTCCAGATTGCGTCTGTATGGAAGTGGAACGAAATAATGCCTAGGCTTTTTTCAAAAGATCACGAAATTTCTCCTTGCATGAAGTTGTATTACAATAGGGTACATGAACCTTGATAACTCTTTAGGTTGCTTTTTTTTCTTCAAATCCTTGTCTGGATTCCCTACTGTTATCCTAAACAGGGAGAGAATTATCTAAATACACTTTTGCTTTTTGGAAAAATGTCTCTTCCCAAAGAGCAATTATTCTAAAGAATGTAAACTCCTAAGAATAACTGTCAAGAGGAGAAGATTTAGTTCTTTATGGCTGGGGTTTGAAATGAATACTACAGTACTTCTTTATTTAGAGTGTAAACCTGTATTTCTCTACTGCATCAACCAATGCCAGACCAACAAATGAATACCTTATACATAAACAGCGCAGTACCTTTATAGATTTGAGTAAAACCAGATGCAACTGCACAGCCAAAACAAGGATGCCAAAAAACTGGACAAGGGAAATGACTGCAAACCAGACAGTGTATAGTGCGCTCAATGACCTTGTCTGCTTTAGAGCAACAAGTTGCTATGCAGGGCTTACTTGACATTCTGGAATGTCAAGCACAAAAATAGGCAGGTATTTTCCATATGTTGCAGGACATGTAAAAAACCTTAGGTGACACTACATAGAAACAATTCATTGAAAAACCTGCCTAAATCTAAGGCTTTTCCCTCAAACTTTCATAACTCAAATTTCCTGGAGGCCTTTTCGGCTATTTTTTTATTGACACAGAAATGGAAAAGGAAATGAAAACACGATTTTTAAATTTAATTTTGAAAATAAGTGGAAAGAGTAATAGGGCAAATAACCCTCGCCTTCAACTTCAGCACCGCCTGTCAACATATTTAAAAAGCAATTTAAGCCACAGAATATCACCAACTACAATTCTTCTTTATTTTCCCCTTAAAAAGTGCTCGTTTCCCTAACTTCAATCATTTTCTGATGGTCCCTTTACTGAAGTTTGACTCAAAGAGGTTCAACTGAATTTAACCAAGTGGAAAATCCACCCTGTGTGATATTTCAAAACGATTCATCATTGCAAAGGTAATCAGTAATACGCAAACTTTCCGTTCAAAAACAAAATTTATGATTGCTGTACAGCATAATCCTGAATTTGAAAAAAATTACAGCAAAAAGTTGCTCACAGACAAAATCATTGCGGCAGTTACAGTGAGACCCCTACATTGGACGCCTCGACCTGTGGACAATTCAACATAGGAAAACTTATTTTCCCAGAAAAAATCAATAAATAAGGCCGGACATGAGGACGCTGACTTGACATAGGGACATTTTGTTGATGAAATTGCAAATACATTTCAGGCCAAATTACAAGAAACAGATATTTCCAACCCTTACTGAATCAAGTTATGTAAAGAAAATTATTTCTTCATATGCATGTCAACTATTTGTGAAACTTGACTAATTTCTGCCCACCATTCAAAGTAAAAAAAACGCCTCATCCAGGAACAACACTATTAATCCAAATTCAAGTGGCAAACATTTTTTTTCAGGGAATTCTGAAGAATATTTCTTCCACGAAACACCAATCAAAAATTATATAATGTAAGTCTATGGGAAAACAAGACTTGACTTAGGGACATTTTGACTCAGGGACACTCTTCATGCGCCAATTACGTCCGCATCTCGGGGTCTCACTGTATTATGACACACAGCACACCTGATGAGCAATGGTATCCATGTTCGCAATTCGACCATAAAACGCCTGAACATTTCCTTTTGCTCGTTTCAAACACGGAAATCCCATTTAAATCCCATACAGGAAGACAGCAGTTCAATCATTCCCACATACACACATCCAGCTTTGGAAACTTCAGGAAATACCGCGAGCAACGGTAAAAACGGATGAGTGAGAGAAACATTAAGAACAAAAGGAAGACGAAGAAGAAAAAAAAATGTATGTGAGCCCAGTTTCAGAGAAGCACGGAGAAAGTATAGAGGAAAGAAGCATTCACTACTTGGTGCACATGTATCTCATCGTTTCAGAGCAGTTGGAGCAGTGCTTTACCAATAACTTGATTCGGGGGTTCGCTCATTTGCTGTTCGAACAGCAACGCGGCACCATCATATCAGCGAATTCTGAACATATATCTTCTTTTGTTTTGTTTTGAGAAACTGTAGAAAATAACATCACGTGAAGTGTCAAAAAAATGATCCTTCTTCGTCCTCTTCCCCAGCAGGAATCAATCGCGAACTCGTCATGGGTATCTTGTATTTATTGAAGATGCCGCCCATCAGGATGTGACGAGTGTTGTGCTGCAAAAATATCGGAAATAAAAAGGAAACATCACAATCATGCAGTTGAAACTGGTGAGTGGAAAAAACCCGAACATTGCACCACGAATTTCTGGGGTAATAATATTCATCCCTTCAACTTTAATCTGAAAAACAAAATAATTGAAATAAGGGAAGAAGAATTTTAAAAATTGGCTCGTTCAACACGAGCTGAAAATTCGAAAGCAAATTTTGAAATATTCCGATGATTAAAAAATTCTCAAAGTTTGACTCTCTCCTCTACTTTCCTTTCTGACAAGACAATTGTGCTGACTCATGAGTCATATATCACTAACACAGTATTAAAATGCAAGGTTTTATTTTTCCTCGACTTCGAAATTAACGTTTTTTAAATTTTATTTTGATTATCATTACATACGAGGGTCTTGACAAAAGTTCATGCAATAATTCAAAAGATGTCATAAAATTTAGCTAAAAAAAATTATCCTTTAAGGAAAAAATATTCTTTGGCCAAAAAAAAATTAGCCCTGTTTGACTTTTTGGTGTTGAATGTTTTGCAAAAATCGCCCTTGCAGAGTTTTGCTCTTCACTCAAAAGATGAGGCACCCTTCCTGCAGATATATTTTTTTTTTAGCCCAGCTTTTTCCTCAGAATTTTTGAAATCAACGTGACATTCTTTCTAAGCATTGCCTCATTTTCATCAACAGCCGCCAAAGTGGCGGCTGTGAAGGCGGCTGTTGATGAAAATGGCGGAATTACCTTGGAAGACCTGGAGGCAACCCGTGGAATAATTAATGCCACGTTGATTTCAAGAATTCTGAGGGAAAAGCTGGGCTAAAAAAAAAATAAAAAAAACCTGTCCTCATCTACAAACAAAAATAAAATTCTTCCTTCAATATATGCTGATGATAAAATACGGTAGAATCTTTCAGTTGTTTCGAAACTTTTCTAGGATGTCATCTGCAGTGTCTGAAAATGAAAATATTTTTTTTTTCCTCGTATGAACTCCTATACTAATAATGCATCAACGCCACTTTCTGTTCCGAAACTTCTTCAATGCCTTATTGATCCTCGGATTCACTCATGATTTCCCCGCGTTTGTTCAGCAATATTTTAAATACTGCATAATAACACTGTAACCCAGTAATCATCAACAAGACCGTTAACATCATAAACCACCAAAATGATGATAATTCAACTCAGAGGTCCTTTCACACAGCAAAATTGTTATTTCCATTTACAATTTTAAATACTATAAATGTAAAATTTAAAATTACTGTCTACTCTCGATGGGAAGATTTTCGATTCAGAAGTACGAAGTATAAATTACGAAGTTTGTTACGATGAATAAATTTAAAAATGTGTGAGCAATGCAATTCTTCAAATGTCGGGAAATTTCCGCTATCTTTCCCAAACATTCTATATTGAAAAGATTTTCCAATCTGGTACTCTTGGTAAATTTTATGACCCAGGGAAAAATAAAAGCTGGTATAAATCCAAATGAATCAAATCGAAGCTCGTCCTTCTCGTCAGTTCTCCTCTCACGCTCAGTCAAACTGACAACGAATCCATCTACAAGCTGTTATTGTCGCAACTTTCTCAAGATCAATCAGGGATCTTCTTCATGATCGCCTGCTAAATTGCCATCAGAAATTTCAAAATTACTAATAATTTAAAATAACAAAAAATGCTAGCAAATACTCACAGGATTATATACATCAGCCATTAGGTTTTCCTTCATTTTTAACACTAACACTATACATGGAGAGGTGTTCATGGTAATCCTGAAGGAAAATATTTACAATAGATGAGATGCATTATTCATCAAAAGTTTGATTAGCACTGGTCAGACATTCTCAATAGAAGATAACTTTGTTTATTGTGATTCAAATTCAAACCAATTTGTGGTACAGTCCTTGGCATCCAAATTATGGTACATCAACTCTACTTATTACTGTAAAATCTGTAAAATACTGTTACAGTATAACAAATTTTCAAGTACAGTATAACAAACTTTTTTCCAAGTCTTGGCAGAAATCATATGGGGTACATGTTTAAAAATCTTTTTACAACAAGCACACCAATTTCAGTATGAAAAACTTTTAAAGGAACATGTGATTTCCAATTTTAAGAAATCCCCAATACAAAGGCAGGCACAGTTCATATTTCCCATTTAAAATTTGACATTGACTGGTTATTGGGAGATAAGGTACAATAAAGGACAAACATTCTTTGAAATTCAACTGAACATCCTATCTTTGAAAAAAAAGTTTACCAGAGTTGGGAAATATGGAAGAGGAAGGGGATGAATGCAGAAAATCTCATGTTAAAAGGGAGTTTATATGCTTGAGAAACCCTTCTGATGCTTAAAAATTTTAAGCTTTTTTGTCACCCTTACAAATCTGTGCAGGAATTGCTCAGAAAAAAGTTGTCAACAAAAAGTTCTAGGCTTTACCTGTTATTCAGAGAAAATGTGTCATTCACATTTCAACTTCTTTTGGAAGATCAGTTTTTTCAAACACTGAAAAACATCTGAAAAGGCCAAAAACAGAAGACATTGAACACAAGCTGGTTTAATTATTAGAAAATCTTCTAATCAGTCAAAAAATTTGAAAATCTCATTATAACAAATTATTTTCATAATGAACTTTTTTCTGAAGTCCCCACAAGTTTGTTGCAACAAGATTTTTTGTATTTTGAAAGTTGTACAATCCAGAAAAAATTCCCTTTGTCCTATGCTGTTTTCACCAATTCAGAAAAAAGGTTGAAAATTTCAACATTATTCCTTGTAAATGGTGGCAGAAGATCAGATATTTCTTTTGGTAAAGGCCATAAGAAACACTCCCTTTTATACAACAGATGGGGCCACTCTTGAAGAAATTCCTGCGATCATGAAAAAAAATCGTGTTAGAGAACCCCTATAAGATGGGGAGAGAACCCTATGAGCCCAAAAACAAATTCTTTATACAGAGAAAATCTTTGATGATAAGATTTTCATTGAAAAGAGATAGAGTTCACCTGTATATGCCTCTTTAATGCGGAAAATTCAGAAAGTAAAATGCACTTCTCTTATTTTAAATGTGCCTCATTAAAAATCTACTAAAAAAATGCAAGATCTTAATCATAAAGTGGAAAAAATAAATGCTGAAGAATAGCATTTAATTTATTTACAACTGTACGTTCCTAAAAATAGCGCATTATACTTCCAAACCTACGTTTATTTGATATTAATTCTAAAACAAAGCTAGAGAAATTCTGAAAAACATGCTCTTTAAAAAAAAAATTCGTAAAATGGTTCCTATGACAAAACTGCTGAGGAAAACACAACACGAAACTTCACACGAGTGAAAATTTGTGGAATACTGTAATTCCTCTGTAGTTAAATGTCTGTCATTGGAACGCAAAAATTGGTTGACTATTAATGTACCAGGACATTTTGTAATAACAGGACATGTTGTTTCATAATATCTCCATGATGGTATTAAATACAAGCTACACACTGTAAACATTCGAAAAAAGGATTACGTAATTGAAGTTCCAACCCGAATTCCAAAAACCATTATTTTCCGATTGAAAGCACCAGAAAATAGGCACAGGAAATCACGGAACATTTTTTGGAATCACGCCGGCAATTAAACCAGGAGAAAAAGTTTAGCCAGATAACAAAACAATACAGTATATGTACAAGGGTTATAACGAAAGTTCTTGGGATAGATATGGAAATGGCATGTGATTGATATGAGAGAACAATTAATGTTCAGAAGAAAAAAAACATTCTTTGGTAAAATAAGAAAAAATTCTGCCATATTTGACATTTTGTTGTTGTTGCAAAAAGGCATTCTGGCGACTTTCTGCTCTTCACTCAACAGATGAGGCGCCCATTTTATTTGTTGTTGTGTAGTCCAGCTTTCCCTTCAGAAATTTTCAAAATCGAAATGGCATAAAATCCAAGGGTTGCCTCCAGGCATTCCCAGGTACTGTAATTCTGCCATTTTCATTAACCACTGCCACATTCTCATCCCAAGTGGCGGCTGTTGATGAAAATGGCTAAACCCCTTGGAATCAAAACCGCGTCAATTTCAAAAGTTCAGGAGGGGAACGTTGGGGTACACCAAAAAAATCTGCAAGATGAGCGCCTCATATCTTGCTTGAAGAGCAGGAAATAAGCTGTGCAGGGTGACTTTTGCAAAAATATGTCAAATGTGCTTGCATATCTTCTCATGCCAAAGAATGTTCCTCCTAAAAAAAATTGTTCATCAGTTTAATCACATGCTGTTTCAATTCATATTCCAAGAACATTGGTTAGACCCCTGGTACATATGTATACAGAAATTGCAATTTACAGTTGAACCTCTGTAAGTAAAATTTCTAGGGACCAGGAAAATAATTCAACTCAGGGAGGTTTTGATTTTTGGGGCTTTCCAGTTGAGGAAACAAACACTTTTGTTGTGAGGAGAACTGAAAAAAGTGTGGGAAATCATAAATGAGGATATTCTGGGTCTAAACTTGCTGCTTAATGAGTTCACACCTTGCTGAACTTGGAGGCAGGGGTTCATTTGCTATATTTGTCTTTTACTTTCTTTCAAAATGCATCAAATCATTTATTTTAGTCATTTTCTCTTTCATATTTCAAGGAATTAATAGCCAGAAGGCCTCAAGAAATTCAACTGACAGAGGTTTTAGAGAAAAAGACTTTGAGTTAGGGAGGTTTTTAATGAATGAATGAATAAATGAACAGAACGCTTTATTTGCCGCTTTTCAGCATTCACAAGGTTCAATCAAGATTTCCACTATTTGCCGCTATTCAGCATTCACAAGGTTCAATCAAGATTTCCACAAACAAACCCCCTTCCCACCCAACCCAAATCCACTCAATGACATTTTAAACACTTCATAGCAGGAAAGCACAAATTGATAACAAAAATAAAATAAATACAATACAACGTGAAATACAATTGGACATCTGGCATGTATGCCAGATACATTAAATACATTTCTAATGTATTGATTCTACGGGAACTCAGACAGGGACTTGAAAAAAAGTTGACTTATAGGGAGGAATTTGACTAAGGGAGGTTCAACTCATCAAGGTTCACCTGTATAAGAAGATTAAGAAAACAGAATAAATAAAACAGAAAATCTCACCTTGATGTTTCCACTTGATCGCGACTCAGAACACATCCGTGACAAAATGAAACAACTCGCATTTTTCACACCCCTTCGCCTTCACACCACTGCGCAGTTCATAACTCCCCCCTTTCACGCATCGTCCATCACAGTATCGAATATTCTTGCCTTCCTCTTCTTTCCCCGATATGTCGTAACGAAAGAAGGGGGGATTGGTTCAAGCGAATCTTCCGCGGTTTATTCGTCAGTCACACACCGAGAAGCATTAGATCACTCAGCAATGGGATAAATTACTCACGTTACTGCGGAGAAAGTCGTGAGCAACCAAGCATGACCAACGGGCCTCAGGCCATGAGGAAGCCCGAGATACGATAACTCGGCTGAATGATGATGATGATGATGATGATGCTTTTGTGTTGGTCCATGACTGACCGAATGAGCGCCGGGGGAAACTGAGCGCTGCCCAACTCAGCGTTTCTTTAAATATCCCTCGCTAAATGACACAAACGAAGGTTGATTCAAACAGTGATCCGAGCTTCGAAGCTGGAATTTACGTTTCACTCGCTATAACAAAGTATCTTTTTTTCAATTCCATCCTGTTTTCGCATCAATATCTTTGAAATTTTCAGGTGAGAAATGGTTGAATAATAATTTTCGGTTATGACTACAGCAATTTTTTTTTCCATCATTGGTTTCTCAGAGTTTAGCAAGAAGATAATTTACTCTGAGAAAATAACCTAATAATTAAAAGTTCACTGAGCTGACGAACAGTTGGGGCAGTGCTCTCAGTTGGCACCTCCATTGGCGATCATTTGACCCCATGCAGCACCACGGGTTATATATACACATTTCCAGCTCGTCAGCAGCTGCTTTCTCCACTGGGATATTTCAAACGACTTTATCTGCAACAGATGCATCAGACGGTCATTTTCTTTCTAATCACCTTCCAACAAAACAAAAAAATAAAATGCATTAGCGTTCGGGGGAAATCATACCGTGGGACTCGCCAATAATATGGATGCAATGATCGATTGATGGATATTGATTCCAGTCCGTCGACGTCTTTCTCAGAGATGAACACTGTTATTCGCCCAGCTTTAAAATAAGTAGCACAAAACTTAGATTACGGTAGAAAATTTGTTAGAAAAGTTTGAGATGATCTGTTATTTTTATCCTTTCAACACGTTATTTCATTATTTTTTTAAACTTGGATCAGCAGTGCCGAAATCTTTCCGTGTGGGTATAGAACGTAAATTATTTCAACCTTCCTGTTATTTTACTACGTCACGGCTTATTTTAAAGTTTAATAAAGAAAATATGATCCTCATCAATAAATTGTAATAAATAAAAATACTGTAATCACTGAATTTTCGACATTATTGAAAGACGAGAAAAAATATCGTTTTTTTCATTATTTATTACGGTATGAGTATAATTAATAATTTAGCAGGTAATTTTTTTAAATTACGAAACATTTTTAAAATATTACACCGGTAAATGCATATTTTTATTCATTTTTATTTATAATTTTTATTAATAATGAAACATGTTTAAAACATTATCAATAAATATTTTTATTTTGTTTATAATGATAATAAGTGAAGTTTTAATGAAAAATGAAATTTAATATTTTCAATAAAAATATGTTTTTGAAGTAGATGTCAAAAAATACAACATTTTCTGAACTACAGTAAAATCTCGTTATAACGAAGCCGCTTAGACGAGGAAAATAGATTTTTTCTAAAGAAGAATTCGCTATATAAAAACACCTTCTTTGAACAGTATGGCTATCGGGCAGGGACCTAAAAACGACTTCGTTATAATCGAATACTCGTTAAAACGAGATTCGTTGTAACGAGATTTTACTGCATCAAAGATTTCAACAGCAACGGAAAGATTTCAACAGCAAGGGAAGGTACTTCAAAGCGTATTATCCCTGATATTTTGGGGAGAAAAAATTCGACATGTTGAGTATATAGCGCCGACGTAGAAATTGCCGCTCGAAACTTTCGCCGATGTTATCAAGTTTCTTGGAACTTCACACGACGATTTTCAAATTTTCTTCAAAGCTGAAATGCGCTCAATCAGACAGCGGCTCTTCTCAACAGTAGCAGGCAATTTTCATCATCATCCAACTTTGCTTCCATCCAGTGACGAGTGTCTCAAGCCCTGATTTCCATTTGTCAAAATTTAGAAATTGGGTGCTGGAAGACAAAAAGAAAATCAAAGGAGAAATTGCAGATCATTGAATCACTGAATCGAAAATAAATAAAAACGCGCAAGATAAATTGGCAACTAAAAGCATACGTCAACGGTATTCTCCAGGTCCCCAAAATACCCCTGGGTTGCAAATGCCTATCTAAGTTGGGGGAAAATCTTGGTGGAGTTGATCATATTGTTTTCAGAAATATCCCATGTTAATCCTATGCTAGGAATGCATAGGAAAAAACGCCTTACAGTGAAACATGTTGTCAATTTTCAGCCAAAATTTTTCAGCTGAAAGAGAAAAAATATTGGACTTTTTCCCCAACTGAGGCCTTGATTCAAAATTAATTAATTTTGTATTGTTCAAGGGCACACAATTTTGCAACAACAAAAATGCTGACTTCCCTACAGAAGGGTTAACAGAATTGTTTGTGCAAACAATTGAAACTTGATTAGACTCATCAAGTTCAATTCAAATTCTTTCAGGTCTTACTTTTTGAAATATTTCAATTTGTTTCACCCACTAGAATGAAGTCTGCATCTTACTATAGGGGATAGGATTACAATACTTCAAAATATTAGACTGGAAAATGGAGGTGCCAGGTATTCCTCCAGATTGTGTGATACTTTATTTTAAAATATTGTTCCCCAACCTGTGGTCCACAGACTGGCACCAGTCTGCAGAAGTTTCATGACAGTCTGTGGGAAATTTTCAGCATAATGAATTTATCAAAAGTTGGGATGAAGTCTGTTCTTTTCACCTAAAATTTCAGAAGGACAATGGCAGTTGAATCATCTGATGAAAAAAAAAAGTTGGCTGTTCTCCTAACAACACTTCAGATAAATTTTCACCTGCTGAAATAAATTACCGTATTCACTGGAGTACCACGCACACTTTTTTCCCAAATTTCAGAAGAAAAAAAGGGGTGCGCGTCATAAGCGGGTACAAAATTTTCAAGACGTTTTAAAAGTTATGTATGCATTATACTTGATTATAATGGAGAAATTTGGAACAAATATAACAAGAACACATTTTTGCATTGAAAAAGTTGAAAATTTATCAGATTTTTGTTCAATTCATGCCTAAAGTCAAATTTTTTATTTTCATTTTTGAAATTTTATGGTTGTAGATTCACTAAAAATTGGGGTGCGCATATTACTCTTTGCATTGAAAAAGTTGAAAATTTATCAGATTTTTGTTCAATTCACGCCTAAAGTCAAATTTTTTATTTTCATTTTTGAAATTTTATGGTTGTAGATTCACTAAAAATTGGGGTGCGCATATTACTCGGTGATAAGATTTTTGCAATATTTTCAACTGAAAAACCCCTGTGCCCCTGAGGGCGCGTGGTACTCGAGTAAATACCGTACCTTAATTTTTCATTCTGAGAAACCTTTCTTCAAGCCCATCATTCCCATTGTTTGATGAAATTCTTGACTGAATTTTTCTTGTATCTACCTGCCCAATACCAATCAAGCACAACTTTGGAAAGTCTGCAAAAAATGTATGCAACTTTGCCATTCTGGAGAAATTTTTGTGGGAATTTTCTGGTCCGATTGCCCAAAAAGGTTGGGGAACACTGCTTTACACAAAAAAATAAACAGTTCATCACAGACCAGAATCTCAAAAAGATGTCGCTCTCTCACCTTCATTTTTCCAGTCCTGGCTACAGTTGGCCACATTGGGAGCAGTGTTCAGCCCAGAGGTCTTAGACATCCTGTCACACACACCATGGAATTCGACACCGTACCCCAGCCAATCCTTGACGACTTCCAGACCAGGCGGAAGTTCCCTGATGATGACTCCAACAGCGATCTGCTCCGTGTTCGCGGTTTGGAGTCACCTGATGATCCCTGCTCAGGCAGTTCCCAGTCCCATGCCTTGGGGAAAGAAGAAGAAAAAGAAATGGTACGTATTTGCGGCAATGTCTTGCTTTGTTGCATCTCCCGTTTCTCATATGAAACAATGCATTTCATTGCAAAATTCGCCACGGACGAAGTTAACACGTTTTTTTTTCAAACTATTAACTCGAAAAATTATTAAACTCACTTCGGTGCTGCTCAACTTTTTTCCTCTAAAATTTGAGCATCTCATGAAAATGGCTGAAAATAAACTCCGATCGGATCTTGGCATTCGGGTAAAAAAAATTAAAATTCGAAACAACCTTAGCTGAATCCTCTGAAACTGAATTTCGTAAAAGCAAATTAATTTTAACTGATCAGCCGAAATTTTACAGAAATAAATCTCAACAACACTTGAACACACAACAACAATTTTCGGACTCATAATACAAATTTTATCAGCCCAAGGTTGTCAGATTCGGTGTAATTATATCCCTTGAGTAATTTTTCATACATTCAAAACGCAAAAAATGGAATCACACATTCTCAACTCTCTGTCTTCTTCAGTAAAATAACCCAAGAATAGTCAATGCTCCATTTAGTGCCACCCTTGCATAATGCTACAATTTTCCCTGGAAAAATAAATCTTCCTCAATTGTGTTCTCAAGGAATATACCTGAATTAGTGCCAATTCATTGTGTCACAAAGAATCCTTGTTCTGGATGAAAAATGGGCCAACAACAGAGAAAATAGGGCCTTCTTTACAACATGTCCTTAGGTAATGGCTGAGAATCACATGCCCATCATGCCCAAATAAAAACTCAAGATACAGGTGAACCTCAGTAAGTCAAACCTTGATAGGTCAAATGTTTGTCAAATCCCTGCCAGAATTCCCTTACAATCAATGCATTAAAAACCTCCCTGACTCAAAGTCTTTTTCTCTAAAATCTGCATAAGTCAAATTTTCTGAGGCTTTCTGGTTATTAATTCCTTGAAATATGAAAAAGAAAATCAGTAAAACAAATGATTTTGAAAGGAAGTGAAAGACTACTAGAGCAAATGAACCCCTGCCTCCAAGTTCAGCAAGGTGTAAACTCATAAAGGAGCAAGTTTAGGCCCAGAATATCCTCATTTACAATGTCCCACACTTTTTTACTTCTCCTCACAACAAAAGTGTTTGTTTCCTCAACTGGAAACCTTCAAAAATCAAAGCCTCCCTAAGTCAAATGTTTTTCCTGGTCCCAGAAATTTGACTTACAGACGTTCAACTGTGATTTTGAACATTCATTTCAAAATTGTCATTGTTTAAAAACATCTTCATTAGTTGCCAGAAACCTTTCTTTGTTTGAGATTATTAAAATAAACAGGGACTGTTCCAGGAAACATTGGTGATTCCTGCATCATGGAACCTGATGAAACTCATATTCAAACAAATGATTTACAAAACAACTCTGCTCTTTCACTATGGACACAATCTGTGTAAAAATCTGATATATTGTATTCTCATTAATTACATTGAAAAACAGTATAAAAACAGTAAATTCAAACTATCCAATTATTCCTACTTATTTTCTCTTTTATAAAAGAGACTTAGTGACCTTACCATTTTGTCAAAAAGCTTATTTTGCCTTTAGTATAAACCCTTAAATAAACCCTACTCTCAATTTAGTTTTTTTTCTTTCACAAAATATGCCAGGACAAATGATTGCACTAATGCGATGTTTAGCGGCATAGGTGAAAAGTCAAACGAACGTATGGGAGGAATGGAACATCTCAAGTTGAATCAATACGGTACAGTAAAATTACCCATACAGTACTTTCGTGTCCTAAATTTCGCGCACACAGGGGGGGAAAATGGCGGAACACTTTCTAAGTAATCCCGGCGATTAACTATATAAACTCACTTTCAAATCACACACAACAGCAAAAAAAATGCCATCATCAATAATAAAATCACTCATGATTCCGTTTCAGCTCGTCGTCTTCATCCTCCAGTAGCAGTTCCAGCGGGAAGTGCGGAAAATGCAAGAAGAAGAAGAAAAAGAAAAAGAAGAAGAAGAAGAAAAAGAAGAAGGTTAAGAAGGTAAAACACACGCATCATCACTACCATTACCACAAGACACCCAAGAAGAAGAAGAAGCACAGCAGTTCTTCCGGAGGGAGCTCATCATCTTCGGGACGCAAACCATACAGCAGCTCATCATCGGGAAAATGAAACCAACTCGCCGCAAAACAGTATTTCCCTTTTTCAAAACAGCAACGAAAAGTATTCCTGTGAACAAAACAAAAAAAGTAATGATTGTTACCAGCGCCTGGAATATGCGCATATTTTGTTACGTTGACCTGAAAAGTTGACCAGGGGAATTGTCGCTTTCCCTCATTCAAAAAAATTCCTTTCTTGTGTTATCCTGAGCTGATAATAAACCAAAAATACCGAAAGGGAAGAGATTCTACGATCAATTGCATTCATCTTTCAGACAGTGTATCTCTAACGAATACCTCACGAAAAAATCACCTTCCGCAAACAAGTTATGAATAATGTTGGTATTCTTCCTCGAATGCTTCATTAAATACTGTACGTCAACACGCATCCATTAAAGTGAATGTTTTTACAATGGAAAAATGAATTTCCAATAAACAACATAACGAGAACTAACACGTTGAGCACTTGAGCTGGAACTAAGGGAGCTGTAAAAAAAGTGAAATATTGAAGAAGAGAATTACCACGTATACAGTAGAATTTCGTCGCAGCAAATTTATTTACGAAGAACCTCTCTCAGGTCCCTGCCTATAATAGCCACAATGTCATTTTAATTTCATCTCAATTTTCACTTCCACAAAGTTATCATTTCAACATCAAATGTAGGCCCATAAGTTTGGCGTCAGTCTAAACCTTGTGGCATTGTCATGATACTGTCACTCTTTGTTAATAAGCCCCCAAAAAATCACCAACCTTGATGGCAACCACCAATTTTTTGTTTCGGAAAAACGAACATTCCCTAATGATAATAACATTGGAATTCCAGTTAAAAACGGCATCTCCCAAATTACCAAAAGCTCAAAAGTTCTCCTGCCAGTTTAATTTTTTCTTCGGTAAATAGAAAGTGGAGAGATCTCCACTTACTAAAAGAAAAAGAACACGAACTCACGAAGATAACATTATTTACTTCATGGGAATGTTCGCAAGATATAAAATTCACTTGTACATATCCCATAGCTATTTCGCTTATTTTTATAAGAAAAAGAATTTCATTTTATATTGCACTAGATTTTCTTGTTATTTCGGCTTTTTGATAAACCACCAACCAAGTTAAACCGTACACAAGCCTCACGGAACAAGCAGTGACATTAGCTCATCAAGACTTGAATAATTTAGTATTACGCTAGGCAAGTTCAGTACTGTATGCTTCGATTCGCGCGACATCTGGCCGACATTCAACTGTACAGCATCGTGTTATTTTGAGCATTATTTATGCGTTGGATGTCGGCCAGAAAAATAATATGCATAAACGCTGCACTATACAGTACTGTATTTTTACCAGGGCACCAGCACTGCTGGTTCCTCGCCCTTAAATCCCTATAACACACAAAAACAAACATTTAAATCGAATCCTTTACAATCGTCTCACATCGCATATACAAATGCCTTAGTCACTCATTCATCTCCCCATCAAATACTGTAAATATAATGCAGTAAGGCTGAGTGTATTGCTGATGGCAGGAGATAAGCTATCACCTATAGTGTCTGAGATGGGCGTATACCTGGGCCGGACGACAGAACTAAGGATAAAAATAAGGAATAAATAAAAAGGTACGGATGGGGTGATCCCACAAAAGGGAACAGGGTGATTCAAATTGGAGATACTGTATAGCTCCAAAGGTCCCCATCACTTTACTCGTAAAAACTCATTCACGATTATGCTGGTGAAGTCGCGGGAAAGATCCTCAGGACAGAGCGGTCGCGAGAAGAAATTTCACGGCACAAAAATACAGAGTTAAACACAAAAATTCACCTTTTTCCATCACGTCAACACTCGGTAGATCAGACATACATGCAAGTGGGTAACCTTTCATATCTCTCATGCACCATCAGGCCTTCGGGTTCGAAGGAAGTCGTCCTTATCAACAATCGCGGAGGAGGAGCTCAACGACAATTCTATTCCCCCATGCACGACATCCTCTGTCCTCAGGAACAGTCGTTAACCGCACTCAAACCTCTGCACCCGCGCGCTCGCACTCGGCGGACATTTTGTCGAACGTTTGACGTCACGCAAGCGCAGTCCTACGCTTTACTCCGATAAAACCGTGTCCGTATAACCCATCCCCAGGTTCTATATCGGCTTCGCGAAGATAGTTATTTGGAGTGTGGGGATTCGTACAGAACCGGGTTTATTGCCGATCATGGCGACGACCTCTTTGTTGACTCAACGACCCGCTGACTGTTGTTGGCCTCAGCAACGTCCCGGATCGAACATCAGTGACTTTTTCCGCTCGTGGCACCCGAACGATTCCATGGCTAATCCCTTCAATCAAGTGGTAAATAGCCTTTTTTCGTTGGAGGGTTCGCATCAGTAGATTCAATCGTTGAAATGTTTCACTCACTCGATTAGGAATTGAATTTATGGACGATCCAAAACAAAATATTAGCGCCAATCACATTTCTTGGCTGTGAACTTACTGAGAGTAGATCCCCCCAGCTTTCGAGTTCAACAGTGTTAGCATCTAGAACGGAAACTTTTCGGAATTCAGCCATTTTACGCCAAAATGCGATTGCATGGCGTTAATAGTGTGGATTAATATCAATGACAGGTTTTTTAAAATGGGAAATTCAATTCAGTCTCCTTCTGATCCAATACGTAATATTTCTCAGAACACAGTAACAATTATGATTTTCGAAAGAATTCTACCTTGGAAGAATTTATTCTTTAGATTCAGTGATGGAAAAATCACTGGCCGTGTTTCCAAGTGCAACAGCTAGGCTAAGTGTAAAAATGCGTTTCTCCAAAAATTAAATCGCTCTGAACATTTCAAGTGCTTACAGCTGAATTCCATTATTTCCATTGGTCTTGATCTAAATTTCAGAAACATAGTTCAAGCGTGAGTAATCTCGAACTGAAGAAAATATTCCAAGAGACAATTGAGCGAAACAGTTGGACTGAATGTGACTGAATTCGATTTTCCCGAGTCGCCATCCTTCGGAAAATTAAATCATCAACACTCTTACGTAGAAATGTTGAATGACATAAAATTATACTTACCATGAGAAAAGCAGAAAATAAATTTCGGATGGATTCTTCGAACTTTTGTTCCGCTCAGAAGAAAATATACTGTATTTACTCAAGTACCATGTGTACTTTTTTTTCGGCGCAAAAAATTAGGCAGATATGCAGTAGAAATAATAAATAAACATTTAGAAGTGCAGGTGGGCATTATAAGTATGAAGTGGACCCTCTCTGGGACAAAATTCGAGGGTTCAGAAAAAGTTCTCGTTGAAAGAATTTTGCTGCTAAGAACCCATATGACACAGTGAGAGAGCCCTTATATGGGACCAAATAAACATTGTTCATACTGTGCAGTACAGATAAAATTGTTCTATTAGACAGGAGTTATGTAGAGTGACAGTCGACTTGGACTAGATTGTAGTGCACAATTTTGGAACGTTTATAACGGTAGGAACACTTTTTCTAATGGAAATTATTTATATTTTCTGAATTCAGGTTCAATTTACGTTGGAATTCAAATTAGGGTGTTCTTATTTTCAAAATATTGCAGTTCTATTGTCAATAAAAGTAAGACACGCATCTATACTCATCAGGAATAGAATGCAAAATTATCGAAATTGTATGCTGAAAAATCCTAGTGATTTGTGTTATACTTGAGGGTGCCTGGTATACTTGGGTCAATACAGTACAGTAAAATAGGTCAGAGGATTATTAAAAGAGTGTGATTGATATGGAGGACTATACATACTGTCAGTTGGAACTGATAAGATTCTCAAACATTGCTTCAGAATCCAGTTTGACCTGATTTTAATCACCAAGAGAGAAAACTTGACCAAGCCGTCCTTCTAGCCAATCAACGTCCCCCTTCAGAAACAGGGAACCCAGAAAATTAATGAGGACCGATCAACAGGAGTGCTCTACTCAGGACCAGCGGAAAGAGCCCAGCGCCGGTAAGTGACATGGCGGCGGCCGAGTCCATCTGGGGAGAGAGAGAGAGACGATGAGAGACCACCAGCGCCCTGCTCCAAAACGTGGCGTGCTTCTGGTTGGGGGGTCCTTGACCCGAGCCAGGAACACGCCACCGACTGGTACCAGGGCGACGGGGAATTTTTATCATCATGATGAGGGAATTTGCTCAGCCTTATCTCTAAAAGACTTTGACCGCAATTTCCGTTTCCCTGGTAACCGAACTTTGGCCCCACAGGTGCTTTCTTTTCCAGGTTTAACACTGCACAGGATTTTCTCTTGCAGGTAGACTTTGTTTTTGTTTGTCCACAGTTTAGGGGCAGTTGGGTTTTCACCAATGAAATGCAACACGGAAGTCCTTGGATAAAACAATTTTCTGGAACGGTTCTAAATATGAAATCCATTCACTTCATATCTGCAGGGAAACCCTCAACCATGGCAGCAGCAACAAATACAACAACAAGAGACATCAAGTGGCAGGGCTGTTCCCTTGTCTTTCCTGCAATACCCTCCCGAAAGAGTGCAGCAACAGGAAATGCACTGGTGCAATATTCCTTCTCAAACATTTGATACAAGACCGCGGAGTCAATGGGGAAGTCATGAACCTGTCCATGACTTGAGTCATCATCAGGTTCAGACCAGGAAGGCCTTGAAAAATAAAAGCACATCACCAAGAAGTTGTCTTGTTGCGCAGTCATTGGCACAAAGACCTCAGAGAACCAGTTACTCTCCTCCTTCACAGGTCAAACAATTTTGCTTGCTTTAAAAGTTGCAAATCCTGGAATGAATCATTCTCATGAGCAAGCAGAGTTGAACAAAAACAGTAGTAATGTTATTCTCAACCATTATTGAACAGTTGAATAACATTCTTGACACACCTCTTCCTTTTTTGAGCTCAAAAATCAAGTTGAAATATATTGTTACATAAAGATGTGCACCTCAGCATCAATTTCCTCTGAAAATGATTAAATTCAAAATTTGTACATTTGAAATTGCCTCTTCATTTTCAATTAAAAGATATTTCAATTGAGTTCGATTTGCAAATATTTTACTGTTCAAAATTTTGAAAATTTTGCAGAACAATTTTGTTCAGTGGGGTCTTGGCTTATGAACTTATGTGTTCCTGAGCCAAGTTTGTTAGCTGAATACTGTAAAGTACTCAAGTATGATGTACACCCACTTCTATAGACCTTGGGGGAAATTGCAAAAGGTACTGAATCAAGTTATGTAAAGAAAATTATTTCTTCATATGCACGTCAACTATTTGTGAAACTTGACTAATTTCTGCCCACCATTCAAAGTAAAAAAAACGCCTCATCCAGGAACAACACTATTAATCTACTGAATCAAGTTATGTAAAGAAAATTATTTCTTCATATGCATGTCAACTATTTGTGAAACTTGACTAATTTCTGCCCACCATTCAAAGTAAAAAAAACGCCTCATCCAGGAACAACACTATTAATCAAATAAATTATTGACTTTTGAACTACTTTTCTCAGACCTTGCAAACGTTGCAAGACTGCGCTGACGCAGTGTTACCAACCGCGTCATACGGAGCATCATCTGATCAACGACAGACTCCATCACCCGGACGCAAAAGAACCAATAGCACCAATGAAGCCGAGCACAAGAAACGAATGGAACATAACGAAGACTTCGAGGCCCTGCAAAGGCTCATCCCGGCTTTGAACCAGACAAACAACCCCAGGATTTCAAAAGCAAGAAGTCTCGAGGCAGCCGCAGAACACCTGAAAACGCTCAAGTCTCAAACGGACGCATACGCGGAAGAAATTCGATCCTTGAAATCTCAAATTGAATCTTTGACTGGAGAAATTGAGTGAGTATAGATAGCGTGGGGAATTCTTGACTTTTTACAATTTTAATTTTTAAAATTCCTTTCCTAAATGTCATTAAGCGGCTAATAACGTCATTAATAATCAGTGAGGATCATTAACGTATTTGGTTAAAATAAATTTTGTTACTGGTTCAATTTATCTCGCATAAATAACAGAATAAAGCTCCAGTGACTTATTTTCGAGGGAAGTGTACAAAAATGTGTTCATGATTTTGATCATAAACGTTTTGTGCCCTTGTTTATGAGAGGCTTTGTCTGACAAGAAACTGAACATCAAAAAATTGAAAATACTGCACCCTATTTCCTGAAGAACTTTATACACTCCCTCCTAGACTAAGGCATTCACCCGATTTTCCAGCCTCAGATTTTTACATAAAATTCAATCTTGTGAGATACAATTTTTGTGGATGAAAGTTTGAATATAAAACTTCACAATTTGAAGTTGACTAGAATTGGAGCTTCATTAATTCAATGTTTAATTGCTTTCAATTTTTAAAAACTTGCTAAGATAAGTTTGCCAAGATATGATTAAGAATTTGAGATTAAAGAACAAATAATTCGAGACCATCTAAAATAAGCTTTCAATATTTTTTGCCCAAATGCAGCTGTTCATTCGAAATAGCTTTCGAGTATTCCTGTCCAAGAATTGGTTCAACCATTTTACATTATTTCAAGACTTCGATTTTTCATCAGCTCTTTCCAGAGTCAGCTTCCTGCCACAGGAGCACCCATTTCCCAGTATAAGACAAACAAGGTACGCGACTACTACAAGGACCATGTGAAACAGCAAACCCTGAAAAGCTGGAAATTCTGGATGTTCTCTAAAATTGTCGGGGAACACATGGCCAAGACCTTCAACGAAAGCGTTGCCAACGCAACGTCGAATAACCTTAGCGCCAGGACAATGGAATGGGCTGAAAAGCATTGTAACCTAGTTGCCATGCGATCAGGTCAGTGGCAAAAATAGATGCGCAAAAATATCTGAAAAAATTAAAGTGAGCCATGCAAGAAGTCATTATTGATATGAGGTTTTTTTCCTTCTTGCACTAATGGTTCATCATGAAAAAATTTGTCCTTAGCCAGAAACAAGACCTGCTCCATGGGGAAAATCAGGGTTCCATATCTAAATATTTTTTTTATGGCAAACACTTTATCATTCATGCAAACAAACTAAGAGACAAACAACGATTTGTCATGGAGACAGCTTTCCTGCAGAGGAGCTCAGTAATTACTTTGGATAATGACTTATGGTTCAGAAAAATTTCATTTTTGTGGTCCTTCCAGTTTATGGCCACCTTTTCATTAAAGGCGCATCAAAGAAAGGTTTTTCCCACCAGGTTCCAAACAATAAGAGTCAACAGTAAAATATTGAAATCTTCATCAGGCCTGGTATGAACTCAAAGAAGTTTGTACAAACTTCATCAATGTTCCAAAAAGAAATGCCAACACTACTTTCTCTGCAAGGGAATTTTTTATTTCTATCTTGGCAATGTTAGTGAATCTAAAATAATAAGATCAGACATCTTCATAACATATTTGAATGTGCTTGAGTTTTTAATTATTTTAACTTAACGTTTCAAGTTGAAACAGTCTAGGGATATGGACACAGAAGAGTTTGTTACACAGATACAATGAAAGTACAAGACATTATTGAGGATCCCATTGTTATTGATATCCTTGAAAAGATGTTCAAAAAGGTGGTTGAAAGTTTCCTAGCATTAGAGCTTCCCCCAATTTATAATTTTAGCAAAGCTGTAAAAAATGGCATTTCAAGAAAAAAAAATACTGTACATCTTGGTAGTCAGCAGTACTTCCAAATGAATCACAGGGAAATTAAAATTATATTTTCAATTACTGGATAATTTTGCAAGCGTTACCATCTGTAACAGGAAACAAAATACTGTACTTATTAAATGAAACAACCTGTCAGAGCACTGTGTTAGATGACACAAGTATACTGTACATACATAATTGTAGGAAATCAGCCTGGAGAATGCAAAACAGATATTGGGTGAAAATGGGGAAATAGGGAAAGCTCAAATCAGTAGATTGATGGGAACATTTGGTTTCCTCTCAGGTACCGAAATTCGAGCATGGTTTATCAAATGTTCTGTGCAGTTGAACCAAATATCCAAAACCCACAAGCAACGTTTGTTTTTTTGAATAAACAGGTGCACTCGGTGCATTGCGGAAGCTGGGCACGGAAACCAGCGTCCTCAGCAACCCGGAGCTGCTCAAAGAAGAAGCCGTGAAAGCAGTGCTGGAGGTTGAACTAGCCTCACCAGCAACATTATCACCCACTGCCGAAGAACTCATGGAACCCCCCATTCAAGAAACATCATCCTCGAAAACGAAAAATCGACATCATAAGTTGTGACTTAAGTAAAAAAAAGTGTTGATTCATGTGAACATGAACATAATGTTTTGTGTATTTAACAAAAAAAAAAAAACCCCGACGCATTTCTCGTTTTTTGAATCCATCGTCCCGCAAAATGAGAATGTATCCTCGTGCATTTTTTTTCTCTTGCACGGAAATACAATCTTGAGTGTATTAATCCTTTAACGAGACGGAAAGTAAAAAATTTTGAACGATTGTTTCGAAAAATATATGTCTATCTCTGCAGTAAAAACCCCGAAACAACGAAGGGACCAGCAGGAAACCGGGATAAAACCTTCGTCATGAGTCATGACGCAATTTACGTGGCTTTTGTACGAGAGGAACCTATGAACAAGCAAATTATTGTCAGCTATAATTCGTTTTAACGAAATCCCAACATAATAGGTTTTTTATTTTCTTAAAAGTTACACTTGGGATCATCTTGATTTTTACGAAGTGCTAGCTTTCCTGTGGAATTTCAATATTCAATTGAAGAAGAAAGATAAAACCTGGCATGACATTATTCGAAAATCATCTACAGTATCCTGTATATAGAGAGCATGTTCAGACCAATAACATCTTTATCCAGAGACAGGTGTTCAAATTGATAAAGCGGACGTGAAAGAAAATTTGGGAGTCAGTCCACGTGGCTGTTTTCTTCTGCTAATGCGAAAATTCGTTCCTTTTTTAGTTCAGGAATTGTGGTTCAAGTGCCTCGTCCTCATATTGTCAGTTTTTTGCCAGCTTCAGAATGGGGCACTGACATTTTCAGATTGACATTCAATGATTTCCAGTGGCCTAATGATATTCATTACAGTCTTCTACTGTATTGTTTGCAGAAAAATAAATTTGGTGACTGTTTCAAATACAGTGAGACCCCCACATGCAGACACCTTGACCTGCGGACAATTCAACCTAGGGACACTTATTTCATAATAAAAAATTAATAAAAATGACCCAACATGAGGACACTGACTCAACATGGGGACATTTTGTTATAAAATTTCAAATACATTTCAGGTCAAATTACAAGAAACAGATATTTCCAACCCTAAAATTGATGAAAGAAAAGTTCTTTGGCATATCTCCCACCAATTTACCATCCATTTTGCAAATTGAAAAAAAAATACCTCCAGCAGAGAGGGACTTCTTTCTCTCTTTTTCACTTGAATGTTTTTTTTTACAGAGAATGCCAACATTTCCATGTACAGTACAGAGTTATCAGTATTAAATTCCCCAAATGCTCATATTGTTTTGAAATATATTGCTTGGAATCAGTTGAAATTGGGAAACAATTTTTATTTTCATGGAATTATGGTGAGTATTTTGTACATAAAACACCAATTAAAAATTATTTAATGTAATTCTGAGGGAAAATGAGACTCAACTTAAGGACATTTTGACTTGGGGACACTCTTGATGCACCAATTACTTCCGCATCTCGGGGTCTCACTATACTGCTGGGTAGACAATATGTTAAACTTGGAGCCAAGGGTTCATTTGCCCAATTTGTTTTTGCTTTTCATGTTGAAAAGCATTACACCACATTTTTATTGCTCCTCTCTTTCCTAGAGGTTACCCTAAAATTTCTCAAAGGGCTCAAGAAATTCAAGCAATAAAGGTTTGAAAGGGGAAAGTTTTTGAGTTAGGGAGGTCTATATTAGATTGTTCTCAAATAGCTTTAGAGGCTTATACACATTTTACAGTGTTTTATCCATTTCATTTTGTCAAACTGAGTTGGAGACAAATTGCTGTGATTCTTCACTGATTCCAGGGAATTTACTGTAACTATAAATAAATAATTCTTTAAAACATGCAATTTTGACATTTTTGGGGATATCTGGAACAGACAAGTTCAACATCAGATCAGGGTTTATTTTCAAATGTATACTGTACAGTGCAGTGAGATGCACAGACATGTGGACAATTCAACTTGATGACACATGATCTTTTCTTTAATCTGCCTATAGCATCTGGACAATGTCTTGACATATGGACACTACCAAAATTTCTAGGAACATTTTAAAATTTCTATCTTTCAAAATTTGATCTCATAGACAACTTAGGCTTTTCATATTCACAAAAATTAAAAAAAAATTCATTTTAAATGCACTCAAATTTATAATCAAATGAAACAGGTTAATGCTGGGCTTCTTTCTTTAGAGTATTTTCCATTATCTGTGCTCAGTAGTATAACATAAGACATCAACTTTTCCCTTGCTTTTTGTTGACATTTTAATACCAAATTATCAAATTCCGTTCAGTTTTGTTCTACAACGCTAAATTCTATATCTTTAGGTTCAAGAACAAATTTTATTCAATTTTCTGGGAGAAATGTTCCTACTTACTGCAGGACCAATTGAATAAGTTACCATTGAAGTCAATGGGAGAAGGTGATCTGACATGCAGACACTCCAACTAAGGGACAATAAGGTTCAAGCATAAATTATTTCTGCACTGGTCTCACTGTATTTTTGTTAAACTGACTTGGGAAGAAAAAGTTTAAATTTGTCCTGCGTTGGAGAGCAAATAGAGGCACTTGCATCATTAGAAGTTTCCCACGAGATTCCAGCCCTGTTTATGTGCGCTAAATACTACCGAGTCGCCATGAATCAGTTTTGACTACATATTTTTTTTTTCTCACTATGCAGCTGTCCTGTAGTTCCTTTTGAAGTCTTTCGCATTTTACAGGTAGATTTTACTAGACTTGAAAAACGGGGGAAGCTTTTCTTTCTTATCAGTCAATGTCAGCAGGCAGGCGAATCCTCTCACAGGGTTTATTTATGTGTTGTCATTTTCCCTCTCGTTCCCCATATGGCTCTAACACGGGTACAGTAAGCCAGAAAACTGAACCAGGGCCGCTCCTGCATATACTAACTAGGAATGTTACTCTTTCCTTTTCCTCGCATCATTTCTTTCTTTCTTACTGCCGTCCTTTCTTTCCTTCTTTCTCTTCTTCCACGAGTCCAATACTGTAATGCGAAATTTTACAGGCGAGAGCGAATTTACAGGAGTGGCAGAGTTGCGGTGGGTTGCGCGCACTTTTCATTTGCATTGCTGGTGCGCTCGGGTTCAGAACCAGTGAAAATTGATGAAAGAGTAAGCTTTCTATGAGAGCCCCAAAGCTTTTAAAATATAAGCACTCTCCCAACCTTTGAACCTTAATTCTGGGGGACACTAACTAGTATAAAGACACGAAATTACTACTACAAGGCGTCCATAAAGAGGATTTTTTAAATGTATGTAATGGCAAGTGTAAACAAAAAATAAGAATGAAGAATTTATCACTAAAAAAAGCAGCCAACCATACTAAACACATGAATACTTGAATGCAGGCGTTGTGCCAAGGTTTAAGTGCAATCAGAGTTATTGTGAACCTTCAAAATTTGTGTGAGTTTTAGAGGAAAATTGAGCATTTTTATTGCAGAGCTGGATGCAAATAACAGTGAAAAAGTTTCAATTTGCACATCAAAATCAGTCTGTTATCAGGATTTGTTTGAGCAGTATTTTAAATGGTGTGAAGGAATTTCAACCCCCACAATAATAATAAAAATTATCAACAGCAACACTTGAAAGAAATGAAATTGAAGCACCAATTATGTGGGCTGCAACAGAGACTTTATTGTAGATACATAACTGAATAGAACACATATATTTTTATAGAGAAGTTTGAAGGAACATCAATATTGCTCCAGTTGACAACCAAGATAAGAAACCAAAATATCAACCAATGCAGTAGTAAAATTTGCGCACACAAGTTCTTTTCCTTCTTTCTTTCCCACAAGAAAAGATTGCTACTTCACTTGTAAGATCTGCTTGGATGAACCACTGGTCTGATACCAATGGTTTTCTTCTGACACAAGAGTTCTTCCCTTGGTGAAACAAATTCTGTATTACAAGGTCAGGTTGTACTTTTTGTTCCTATAGGGTAAGGGGAAAACAATTTCTTTGAGTTTCTTGGACACTTCATGAATGTATAAAGGACTTGCAGTTTCTTCTATAACCAATGACTATGAACCACATTTTCCTACAAAATACAGCATGTATCATTGAAGCAATCAGTTTTAACCAGGAGAGTTGTCAATGCACAAAGTGTTTTTAATGCCTCAGAGCAAATAAAGTATTGTACAGTAAAAGACACTTTAAAAATGTTCAGAGAAGTAAGTCAATTGTGAATTTTAGGAAGATAAGCTTCTGTTTCCAGTACCAGATGAGTATATTGTACAAAATACAAATACAGTTGGCAGGTGATGTATGTCACGAATTTTCTGAGGCACTTCTGCAGAACCAAGCATATCAAATTTAATTGCCAGCCTCGAGCTGACGGAAAGTAATTTTTCATGTCACTCTTCTCAACGTTTTGAACTTAATCTTCAAAGAGAAAAACGCCAAATGGCGCCTTTAGAATTTGAAAGTAATAAACAGAGACGAGTTTCAGCAATTTGCCAAAACTTGTCCTTGGATCCTTCCGTGAGAATCGGGTTACTCACCCATTCTCACAAGAACCAAAAAAACGGACCTTTAGTCCTTAAAATCAAAAACAAACCGTCAAATACTAAAAACTGCACCCCAACGGTGGAAGCTGTAATCTAACCCAAAAATCTCTGTGGAAAACTTCCACAAGAAACCCTTTTTCCTGAGGAAATGTCTCAGGATTTCAAATCACTATCCATCGAACCATCGTACTGTGCAGAACATACGAAGTACTGGCAAACTTATCAAGACTGTTTGAAAAAACTTGTGAATTGTGAATACAACTTCTTTAAAATAGGGTGTTCTTGAGCACCCTGGTTGTAGCCCAACCGATTCCTGTGTTATATTTTTTCTATTCTTTCGTTTACAATACTCTACAATCAAACCTTTGTAACAATGTAGACAAAATTTGGAATCGGGGTGAAACATCTACTGTGTATAACTACTAAGTATGGAGCTGTCCTTCACTTGTGCAGATCCGTAAAAAGGGCCTTAGCCATTATAAAGGCTGAATTGTGTAGGGGCTTTGAAAAACACTTAATCATATTTAATGCAGTTATAGTAAGCTGTGAGTTTAAGTAAGGTTGCTCTCTGTGGAAGAAATTCAATTCTAAGTTCAGAGCTGAACCTGAACAGGCTTCAAAACAACCTTTGTTCATTTTTTTTCGTCATGTTTGATACAGTACAATCATTCAGTTACTGAGCAACTGTGAAGATGAAGAATGTTTCCAGTGGTGAAGTGCAACTACAATATC